ACCGGTGGATCGATACCATTTTCGGAGCATGGTGCTCGTCTGGTAGAACCTAAAACCCATTAATTTAGTAGCTTAATTTTAATTATGTTATAATTAACACATGTTTTATTATTTGACCTTTATAGACACGAGCAAAAGATAGCGTGCCTTCGACCGTTGTGGAATTGTTCGATTACACACACAAGAAGAGGGCGAGTGGAGATGCCGCATCTGCGGATTCGGGGGGGGGGGTACGTGACCACAAAGTGTAGCCAAATAATGGTAAGTATATTTGTCTATTATAATTGGGTTGCCATTTGCTGGGCAAACATCATAATTTGTTAAGTTAGAAATTACATGTATATATATATATACACACGTAATTTCTAATTATGATGTTTGCCCAGCATATGACAACCCATATATATCATTCTTTAGTTTGGGTTGTCATTTGTTGGACAAACATTATGATTGTTTAAGTTAAATTTTAAGTACATATCATTATTTAGTTTGAGTTGTCATTTGTTGTGCAAACGTTAGTATTGTTTAAGTTAGAAATTACTATATGTCATTATTTAGTTTGGGTTGCCATTTATAATTGGGCAAACGTAGGATTGTTTTGGAAACGTCTCATTTACAGTCGTTATGCTGTGAAAATTGACTTGCTATCTTTTTTAAACTATATATAAGATGAGTATTCAACTGGTCTCAACCAAAGATACGACGATGATCCCTTCACCTATCCCTTAGTTGATAAAGAGTTGTGGGAGCAAGCGGTTAGGAGAAGCAAGAAAGGCCGTTTATTTGGGTTTGGGTACAACCAAGATCCCAATTGTGTTTTGACCGGGAACTACACAGAAGGTGGTTCATCTTCAGAGGGTCGGGTATGTTCATCTTTTGTTTTGATGATGTTTATCGATTTAGTTTGGAGCACGTATTAAATATAATAACGTTTTATTTATTTTATAGGAAATTCAAACCTTAAAGACCCAACTTAGAACCTTAGAGGAACGACAGCGAATGGAGGAGGAGCGACATCGATTGAAGGAGGAGCAACAGGATAAAAAACTTCAAGATATGACTGCTTTGGTTAGACAGTTCAGTGAATCTCAACAATTCCCCCCCGCCACCACCATATTGAATATTGTCTTTTGCTTTGAAACAATTTAGTTTTGTTTATCACAATTTAGTTTTTGTTTGGTTGGAATAATTGTAATTTTACTTTAATATATGATATTTAGTTCTATTTTGCATTTTTAGTTTCATTTTTAATATTGTACAGATTTAGAAGTTTTAATACAAGTTTTAAATATTAATTTTAAAATTAAAATAAAATATTAATATTTATATATATTTTCCGGCGGATTAGTCCGCAGGTATTGTTTCAAATATTAAAAATATTTTTTTGAAAATAAATTTAAAATTATTTTTAAAAAAAAATTCCGGCGGAAATTTCCGCCGGTATTTTTTAAAATTAAATATATATTCTTTTTAAATTAAATTAAATTAAATTAAACTTTCCGGCGGAATTTTCTGCTGGTATTTTTTCGGGAACGCGGACACAGGTGGTGCATGGCTGTCGTCAGCTCGTGCCGTAAGGGCGTAGTCGATGGACATCAGGTGAATATTCCTGTACTTCGCAAGGGCCAACTTGATCGTCTTCCCCAGGGATCCCCACCGCCGAATCGGAAAAATTGGGTGCTATCATATAGCTTTGTATCGGCTAAGCTCACGAGACCCACCTGTGTCGGTTTCGGGTACAGGTACCCTTTTTAAAATTAAATATATATTCTTTTTAAAAAAAGATGAATATTTTTCCGGCGAGAAATGTTTCCGGCGGAATTTTCCGCCGGTAAATTAATTTTTAAAAAAAACTTAACCATTTTGTTAATTTAATTAAGGATTTTATAAATAAACCGGTGAGGAATTACCGGCGGCCGGGATCCGCCGGAAAATGGTAAAATCAGCCGCTTTTGTCGCCGAAAAACCAATCACCGCGCCACTTTTTCCGGCGGCTATATCCACCGGAAATCACTGTTTTCGGCGGATATAGCCGCCGGAAAAAGTGGCATTTTTGGTAGTGACATGCTATTTTAGGGTTGTTAATATTTGAACCTTAATTTGACACTAGAAACCCGTCATTCGAATGCGACTTTGCAAGTGACCTGGTTGTTGCTAGGTTCGAGATTCATTATCATGCAGTGTGGGGCTTGTAAGCAATTTGAAAGGTGGCACATACGAGAATACAAATTTAATTAGAACTTGCACTTAATTATCTCACTTCAAATGTATCATAGCTTTTCCTTTGGAAGATAGGGCATGCAATACTGAGAGGCATAAAATTCTTATCGTAAGTGATATGAAAGGAGTAATTGTATTTATTTTCACTATTCCCCATAATAGTGGTCACAAGGAACATGAGTTTTAGCAACGATTTTTGTCGTTGCTGAAAGTCTTGTTATCATTACAATTGGTTTATAACAATGACATGTGGTTATCATAACTTATGGCGGAAATATATTTTCGTTAATGGCGTGTCGTAAAAAGTCATTTTTCTTGTAATAATGAAATGGGTATTTTAGCTAGTTGAGGTGGAAGTTGAAGTTAAGTGTACTAGGTGTGTAAGTGAAGTGTGGGGTATGGAGTAGGGCTGCATTTGAGAATAACTTTTTGAGACGGTGTGAACACAAAAACTACATCATGAATGTATCACTAACACATGACCATTTCAGTCAACAACTTACTTTATTTCATTTTCAATAATATAATATAATATTTTTCTGTCAATTTATTCAAGGTGGAAATATCCCTTACACTTTAATTACCATAACCATTATCATTATTACCATTACCATTATTAGTTAAGGACTTGGGTAAATTCAAAAATATATAAAGTCTATTTTATTTTCATTTTTTGGTTATTTTAGTTTGATTTTTATTTTTTAAATTTACCTTAATTATATTATTTATGAATATTATTAGTACAAATAAGTACCATCTATTAATTTTGTTTTTTTTTTTATACCAAATTTGTCATGTTAAAAAATATCTAAATATTTTACTAGAATTAGATATTAACATTCTGTAAATTATATTTTTAACTAAACATTATGTTTTAATATGACAAAATTAATAATCACTCATTTCCTTCTTAAATTATATGAATGTTGATCAGTCTACTAGTCCGACATGTTTTTCTTGGCTATAAGGATGATGAGTGACAACGAAGTTTACTTTAAACGAAATATATAATCGATCAACTACATATAAAGTCTTGTTGAATTAAAGTATATCCCTAAATGTATGCTTGAAATATATATATATATATATATATATATATAAGAGATTTTGATGTACGAATGTGTAGTGGAATACTATAAAGACTGTGATAGTATATTAAATCACATTAGATTACTCTTCAAAAGAATGTTTGAGAAAAAAAAGGAGAAATTCCAACATATATTAAGAAGAATTTGTCTAATTCTAGTCGATATAAGACTCTAACAAAGACTATATATATATAAGTTTTAACTTTTTCAACTAATTAATTAAGTTGGCCCTCATTTTACAAATTGTAACGAAGATAACTTGTTGGTAATCAAAGAGACTGAATAGAATATATATAATAAGTGATTAGCAGTAGGATGTTATCAACTAGGGGCCGTCACTTACCATATTAAATGTGAGATTTTGAACAGGACTCTGAAATTTTGGGACCCAAATTTACATGTGTTAGGGTCTTTTTATCGACCTATGTAAAACTATAGCCGAAATTATTTAGGTTCAAACCATTAATTGTTTGGTTTTAGGTTCAAATTATTAATGATTTAGGTTTAGTTTAAATTATTAATCGTTTTAAGCTTAGCCCATTTTTGCTCTTAATATATATTCTATGTTATCTCATTTATACAATGTAATCAAAATGTAGCAGGACCTCCAAAAAGATTGGAACGTTGGGGACTCTTGATCGAGTATAAAGATTTAAACATTTTTTTTTAACCGCAAGAAAGCAATTTATTAAGCACGGATAAAAGACTAGCGAGAAGCTAGTTGATAACCGAGTACACAGCCTCAACCGGATTACAAATCCATCTCTCCCAACTAAAAGATTTGCTACAATTAGCTCTACATCTAATCCAATCATAAGCGGTGAATTGAATCTCACTACAAACATCCTTATCCGATTTGCTTTTTCCGTTGAACAACTTGCGGTTCCTTTGATTCCAAATGATCCAAAAGAAAGCAGCCATAATCACTTTACCAACCTCTCTTTTGTACTTGTCCCGTATCGTCACAATCTCCGACCACATGTTACGAGCTGAGGAAGCATTAACCGGCCACCAGTTCACCCACGAGGCCAAGTGCGCGTTAATAACCTTAGTCGTGGAGCATGACGTAAATACGTGGTCCAAGTTCTCCTATGACACAAGGCACGTCTGACAATCTGCCGAGTTGAGAATCACTCCACGTTTCAAGAGGTTGTCCTTAGTAGCTAACCGATTGTTAAGCGTACGCCATAAGTGGATGTTAGCTTTACCGGGAACCCATTTAAGCCATTCTGTTTCCATATCGTCCATAGGGGCAGGACACAATCGATCAATCTCCTGAGAGATCTAACCGAGAAGCAATTGTTTGACTCCAACAACCAAGACCATCCATTCTTATATGGCGCTTCAATTAGGAGACTATTGATGTTGATCCCGATATCACCGAGGTCCTTTTCAACACCTTTAATATTGTTCCAGGCTGATCCCCTACCTCTTCCCGCCAGGCTTTGAGACGAGTTGCAATAACGCACCACCGAGTTCCAGATTGCAGAGGGCTCCATACGCTCTCTCCACCACCATTTGGTCAGCATTGCTAAGTTTAAAGCACGTAAGCTACCAATCCCCAACCCACCACTTCCCTTGTCGCTCATAATCCGATCCCACACCACCCAACATATTTTTTTTATATCTTCCGTTCCACCCAAAAAAAACGGCATCTTATGCCTTCGAGAATGTTAAGCACCTTCTTGGGAGCCTTGAACATCGAGAAATAGTAAGTGCCCAAGATTTAAACATCATAAAAATGTAGTCTTTACTTTTCCCTTTTTTGAGTTCACTAACGAGCATGTCAAATAAACCAAAAACGAATCGACTCATTCAGTACTTTAACTTTACAAAGATACGTATATATATATATATACACACACAAAAAGGTGAAACACAAAAACATCTAACCAAAAAACACCGACATAATATACACACACTCAGCTTAATATATTAACTTCTGATCATCTCTAACTACATCTTTCTGTTCCATCACCAAGAACCAGAACTTTCAGACAAACTCAAAATTTCCTCCAAGTAATCAGCACCCAAATCCTCCAACACCAATACATCCTTATTATAATCATCAGCTAACTTCATCTCTTTCCTTTTCTTCTCTTTAATCACAGCTTTTCTTCTCATGGAGTGACTCCTCTTGAGTGCCAGAACAGGTGAACTCCCTTCCTCAAACCTATAATCCATTGCTTGAAGGGACTCGTAAACTGTTTCTACAGGGAAGTTAAGAACCGCCATTGAACCCCTGGCAGCAAATGCGGCTTGGTCATACGCCAAAGCGGCTTCCTCGGCAGTATCGAACGTACCCAACCAAACCCTAACGCCATTCCTTGTGGAATCCCTTATCTCAGCTGCGTACTTCCCCCAACTCCGTGCACGTACCCCTCTGTAGCTAATCTTGTCAGCTGGAATGGAGGTGGTCTGATGTGAGGAATCCTCGTCACCGTAAGAGGACTCAGCCAGCATTCCAAAGAGAACCATCTCTTGGGAATCATTTTCATTGAAAGGAAGGTACTGGTTTGGAGTGTTGGCGAAGAATGAGGAGGCCATGAAAATAACTGAATCTTGTATAAGCTATAGAAAGGTGGCTTAATGAATGAATTAGCTGCTGTTTCGGGGTTGATAAGATGCAGTGATAAGTTGGTGTTTGGTGTGATGTAAGTAGGAGAAGGGGTTATATTTATAAAGAGGAGAGTTGTTAGATTAGATTATATAAATAGAATAGTTGAAAATGGAGATAGTGGGAGTTTCAAAGAAGTATATGCACGTGTGGGTCAAAAAAGCAATTTGGTGGCTCAGACGCCAATACCCTTTGGCATCACCTAATTTGATGGTTTCGTCTCATGCTTTGTTAGGACGTCATTAGGATCTAGAACCCATGATTTTCCAACTAAATTACTCTTAATTTTGGCAATTAACCAAAGTGATTTTTGCCTAATAACGTTCATAAACTTTTATATAGTTTTTAGCTTTAATTTTAGGTTTCTAAAAGATAGAAGCTATATTTATGGTACATCAACTTTAAATTATCATGTCACATTCTTAAATCATATATATATATATATAGACTTGGGATGTGATACCCAGAGTTTTTCGTGAGACCCGTAAAACCAATTCTCAACCCATGAATTAGATCTACAATCTGAACATTCATAATCACAAAATTGCCACGAAACTTCTCAATAATCACAAAATTGTCGCTGTACAGCTTTAGACCATTAACTTATAAAGTTGATCAATGAAATATACATTGGTTTTATGGGTCTCACGAAAAAACTCTTGGTCTCACGTGAACCCAATTCTAGAAGACCAAAAGTTTTTCGTGAGACACATGAAACTAATTTAATTGTTAAAAGAAATCAACATAACAATACTAGCAACCATATCATTGTTTTGTGAACATAACACACGCACACACTAGTGTTTGGTCAATGCTAGAAACATTCTTTTTTAAATTTATTCAAGTGGGCACATCCCATGAAAAAGACATGATAGGGTTCAAGACTAACATTTTTTTAACAATCATATATAACTTAATAAACTATTTGGTAGTCGTTTAGATATCCAGAAAATAATTAACCGACAACTCCTTAATCGAAATCAATATATAACAACGATAAATATAACAAATGAAATATATCTTAATTTTAAACATGTCACGGTAAAATAATTTCAAAGAGTAACATTAATTAAACCCTTCTTCTCATTTTTTTAAAAAAATGTATAAGTATTTAAAAAGTGTACATATTTAAATAATTTTGTCACATATATTTTATAATTAACTAAAATATACAGGGTGCTGAAAGGATTAAGCATAATAATTAGTTAAAGAGGGCCGGTGCTGATTAGATAAGTGTAACATACAATTAATTAACAATTCAGTATCTTAATCTGAAAATGTGATGTTTTGCTTCCGTCTTTAGGAAACATTGATTGGCCTACCGCCTTTTTGACTCTTTTTCTTCATCAAAACCCCACCACTACAAGAAGCATTATGGAAATCAATTTGCGTTTATTTGCCTATGAAATATAATTGAATTCCAGATATTTGATCCATTATTTATGGATATGTTCATTCCACCATAATTGAGAAAGAATTCAATTTCATTCCATCCATTTTCTCAAAAGACAAAATTACCTCATCTTTCCTACTTGATTTACCCAGGCATATGACCTCTATCTGAATCACCGCCAATAACCATCGTTCTAAACCATCGCCGACTCCCATCGATCTAAGCCACCGCCAATCACCACTTATCTGAACCACCACTAATCACCACCGGTATGAACCATTATCAACCACCACTGTTCCGAACCACTGTCAACCATGCACCATTGATTTGAATATCTTCGACCTCCATCGTTCTAAACCACTGCCGACCACCACCGATCTGAACCACTATCACCACCGCTGATTTGAATCACCGTTGACCACCACCGTTATAAAAGGGATATTTTGGTCATTTATTGTTTATTCATTCCAATTCTTAAGCTACATTCTACCAGCCAAACATGCAGATTCCAAATAATTTCACATATTTCATTCCAATTATTCCAACCAAATACACAGTCAAATTTCATTCCAATTTCTTCAAAATAAAATTCTTTTGACGGATTTATTACTTCATAAAATATTTTGTGAACCAAACGCTCCCTTATTTCTAATTAATATCCAAGTATGCAATTAACTGAATTCAATTTTTCTGCAAATATATTTAAACATTTTATATTATTTTAATTTGTCTACTCTTTAAAAAGAAAAACACACACACACACACACACACACATATATATATATATATATATATATATATATATTAACCAATTTCTAAATGCTGGAGTAGATCCTAAAGAAATACCACTTTCTCATGAATTTATCTTGAATCGGGATCTTTTGGCTCAACTTTATCCTAGTTTTGMCGAGGGAGCAACCMCATTTTTCACCTTGAATTGGTCAAAATATGCGGACTTTCTTACTTTTCGTGGAGGATTAGACCCAGTAACTGGAGGTTTATGGCTAACCGATACTGCACACCATCATTTAGCTATTGCAATTCTTTTCCTGATAGCGGGTCACATGTATAGGACTAACTGGGGCATTGGTCATGGTCTAAAAGATATTTTAGAAGCTCATAAAGGTCCATTTACGGGCCAGGGCCATAAAGGCCTATATGAGATCCTAACAACGAAAACCACCCTCATTTGTAAAAACCGTACAAACCACCATCATACGTCGATTTCATTGTTTAATCTTATGAATTTTTTTCATCAAAATTGTTTAATCTTGTGAAATTGTTTCATATAACTTTTTTAGATGAATTTGTTTCATATATGGCTATGAAATTGTTTCATATAATATTTAATGAAATTTTAATGAAACTGTTTCATGTATTTTTCTAAAATTAAAATAATGAAGATGATATGATTAACACCCTCCACAATAAAAATGGTTAATCAACCTCTCATAATTACAAAAAAATGAACAAAATGAAAAAATTATGATTGGTTGAATGAGGTTTTCATGGTTTTTACAAATTGAGTGATTTTTATTTGAACGTTCCCATATATATATATAAAAGTAGGGATATCTCAAGTGAAATGAATTTCCAAATAATTAGACAATAACTTGAATATAACTTGATCTTAATATCCGGTTCATCTACAAAATTTTCGATTTAAAACGTCATATAAATTTCAAGTGTTTTAGTTGTGAAGTTAAAGAGTAGATACCTATCTTTTTCTTATTATGATATTATAAATTGGAGTTTAGTATATATATAACTTTAAAGCACATGTTTTATCTATCATATATTTTACATTAATAAATATACATTTGGATTTTAAAATTAATGAAAATATATATATATATTCAGATCATGAAGACATATATCATTAATTGCTAGTTGCTGACTTAAAATTGCTAGCAACTTTGACCATTCAACTTGTGGGTTGGTCAAAGTTAGAAGAAGCTTGTGGTCTGAATATCCAGAATTCAGATTCCAATAACTCATCCTCATTCTTCTTGCTTTTTATATTTGAATATTTAGACTCATTTCTTGCTTACTCCTATTACTATTCTAGAATTTTTGAAAAGGAGACTTCTCTTCTTATATTTGAATAAGAAGAGCCATAATTAATGAGTGGACTAGCTAGTCGATCCCCAAACTAGAATTTGGATCTTTTACGAGCCAGAAATATATGTTGGAAGCCGTAAGTTCTTGCTAGAAAGACCGTCGTCAGTAAATACATTTTCTGATGGAATTTCTGACGGATTGATCATAACTGGCGGATGACATCCGTTGAAAATCTGCCACAATTTGACTATATTATTTCATTCAAACTGTAATTATCTGTAAACCGTAGATAAATAACAATTTTGGTAAAACTAGAGACAAAATGAAAAATACACGAATTGAACTAAACACACGAAACCAACGAGCAAATTAAACTAGATTAACAATTAGAACAAGAATCAAATAATTAACACTAACAACTCAAATTGAAAAAAAAAACATCAAATCCTACGCTAAATAAGCTATCTATAACGGTGGATATCGTTTTGGACGTTTCAAAGTGGGATTTGCTAAATTCAAACGTCACTAATTTGCCCCTCTTCCAAGGCGACAAAACTCTTTTTTAATTAATTGAAAATTGATTATTTCCATATTGGTTAATTCTAAAAAGAAGCATTAAGCGAGACGCAATATTCCCAACTAATCAAAACATCTATTTTCAAGATGTGATAAGAATGTACCACCAATTGGTTCGCCCAAGTCAAAAACCAAATTTCCATTTAGATCGATCTCAACAGTTAAATCCAACAATTACCGATTAGTGATCATTTAACAATACCTAACTTCCGTTAGCCCGCCAATCAAACAACCATTTACCGGGAAACCATTTACTTAAAACAACCAATTGATACAAATCAAATCCTTACCAATATTCACATTAAACTATGAACCAAACAAACATAACTCAAAAGAACATGAAATTACTATGAATCAAACAAACATAAATCGAGAAAACAAGATATATATTATACCAAAAACATGACTAAACAAGAACTAAACTAGAAGAAAGCAATTTAGACAAGATAAAACACATATATAAACCCTAGATCTAGAATACCAAGAACATTAAATCAACATTAAAATCTAATTTAGCAAACATGTAAATCTAACCTAAATCTAAAGAAGAACAAAGCTATGAAGCTATTTGAATAATTTCAAGAAATAAACATATAACAAAACCAAAGCAAAAGCAAAAGCAAAAGCAAAATTTTCAAGAAATAAACATAACCAAACCCAAATGGTTACAGAAAATTGAAATCAACAATAATCAAAACTTAAATATCTAAGCTATAAACACGGATTAAGAAGTAAAACAAAATTAGAAGGAGAAAGAGATGCAATTACTCTCTAATACAAAGATTCGTTTCCCAAATTGGATTAAATCTAGGACAATACCTACAAATCCAGAGTTTGTAAGCTCCAATCTCCAAATTAAGCAAAAAATCTAGTCTAAAACATAATGGAAGACCACAAAAATAGTAAAATGTACGATGGAAGCTTCATCCCTAAAAGAAAGCATCAAAAACC